AAATAAAAAAATTTAATTTTAATATGAGATGAAAAAAATTTCATTTTAATTTTTTTATCTTATTATCCCTTCTAAATTTTTGCAGCCTCACTGAGCTTTTTCATTATTTAAATAGTAATTGTAGCATCTAATTACTACAATATTTAAATTCAAACAAATATTAATTACAAATTATTCAATGAATTGCATAAAAAGGCTCAAGAAATTATGTTACTCATACGCCCTGTTGATTCCAAGAATAACTTTATCACTTAATCTTCTGTAACGAAAGTATTTGAAATTTTTTATTAATTTTAAAGACATAACTAAATAAATTTTGTTGCTTTTTTTTAAAGTAATTAATCTCCGAACCTCTTTTGATACATAATGGGTATGTTCGAGTCTCAGTATAACATAGTATAACAAGGAATCATATTCAGCGCAAAAAATATTTCGCTGTAAGTATCAGCTGAGTATCTGCAGAAAAAACAGTGTCGCAATATCGGTGCAGTTACTTGATACTTCGAGGAATCCTCGAGAAATTTCAATATTTTCATAATATGTGCTGCTTTGCAAGACTACGTACGAATATCAAATATTACTCATACGCCCGGATGGCTTTCACTGTGTATATATTTTTTTCAAGGAAACAAAGTTAAAACGTTTTAGTTTATACTTAATAGTGAAGTATAATATTTGTTTCCAATATAAATATTATTTTATTTTGCTACACACATTTTCTACTGACCTTACTTCAAAGATAGTATGTGTAGAAACAGCTTTGATATGTGCTAGTAGAGTAAAGATACGTGAGTAAGAGTAAAACTTTCCGAGTCTCACATTTTTACAGGCCGTTGGTAATGGAAAATTGTTGTTATTATAATCAGTTAGTGTTTTCATTGAACAAATTGAACAATTGACCTTCCTTGCTGCTTGAAATATTAATTTTTGTATTAAATAGTAACCGAAAAAAACTAGCAATTTGTCATACAATTCTATCATTTAGGTATAATTATAATTACTAATGAATTTGTATATTGTAAACACATGCCAAATTAATGGTTTTTATTTTTTTTTTCATTATTCATGCAGCTTTTTGAAACATTGCGAAGAGAGAAACCAAAGGAATTGAGTAAAGTTATTCCTATATCTGGTGATATAACATCCGAGGAATTGGGCATCTGTGAAAATGATCAGGTAAGCATACAAATAACTATACTGAAAGGTTTATTTATTTAACTTTTTTTTTTAAATTGCAAAATAAAATAAGTAATATCCGTTTTCGTTTTCAGGCGCTACTTTGTCGCACAGTATCCATTGTATTCCATTCAGCTGCCACCGTGAAATTCGATGAAAAGCTCAAATTATCTGTCACAATCAACATGCTTGGGACAAAGCGTTTGGTTGAGTTGTGCCATCGCATGATGTCCTTAGATGTGAGTAACTATAAAATATTTAAAATGAAATAATTTTTTATTTGATTTACTATTTGTTTAACAGGCACTAATACACGTCTCCACTGCCTATTGCAATTGCGATAGATCCGAGGTATCAGAAGTTATATACGCACCACCCTATAATCCCGACGATATTATTTCTTTGATCAATTGGCTTCCTGAGGATATGCTCGATCAGGTAAATAAACGTAGGATTCCAGAAACATACATTAAACATATGTATATCAATTTGGGCTTAGAGCATAACATTATTAGATAATTGAGAACTCACTCTCATTCTTGTATAATATTATATTACATCATCTTCTTCACCTCCTTTGGTTCGAAAAATATCTAATTTCAATGTAATTTTCAGCTGACCCCATCGTTGATTGGCAAACGCCCCAATACGTATACATTTACGAAAGCCTTAGCGGAGCATATGCTACTCAAAGAAGCTGGCAATCTGCCTGTGGCCATTGTGCGGCCTTCAATAGGTGAGTACCGTCAATTTACCGTACCACTAAAGGAAACATATAATATATAAAATTTTAACCATAAATATACACTCTTTTTAGTGATTGCCAGTTTGAATGAACCGTTCGCCGGTTGGGTGGATAATTTTAATGGTCCAACTGGTTTGGTAGCCGCCGTCGGTAAAGGTCTATTCCGCACAATAATGTGTGAAAAGAATTATGTTGCCGATATGGTACCTGTCGATATTGTGATTAATTTAATGATTGCCGCAGCATGGCGCACAGCGACGCGAAAAACTGATAATTTAGCGATATATAATTGTTGTACTGGACAACGACATCCCATACAATGGGGTGAATTTGTTAGTTATGCCATGAAACATGTACGAAAGCATCCACTGGGTGAGTTATATCTTAACTATATATGTATATATGAATATGTATCTAAAAATAGCTTAAAGGTAAAAACGGTTGTGTAGTCAAGGATATGAAAAAATTAAAAAAAATTTTTTTTTTGCTTCTGTCGGTCTTTGTGAGCTTTGGCCTTGGCCTGTATTCTCCAAGCATTTCGGTCATTTGAATTTTCTTTAAAATTTGGTCCGCCAAGCTTTTCTTGAGATCGTCATATATTGCATCATAAAATAAGGTTTCGACTTGACTTAAAAGTTATTTGAAACAAAAAAAAAAAAAAAAAACAAAAAAAAAAAAAACAAATTAATCGTACCAAAAAATGTACTTTTATTAAGGAAGGTTGGAAGTCCGATTAAAGCGAATTTATATCTCTGAACTGGATTGTCTGAAATTAATAAAATTAATAAAATTTCGAATGCACTTAAAAGCACTTCAAAACGCCTTTTCAAATTTGCGTCGAAACTATTGACCGCAACGATATGAAAATTTCCGTGTGTATTTGTACATACACTGAGAACATAAAAGAGTCGATTATTTTGAAAATTCTAACTATATATCCCGTTAATAGTATATTATCTATTGTTTCTTCAAAGCATATTTTTCCAGGTTTTCGGGAAAAAACCAAAAAATCTTTCGATCAGACACTAGATTTACATGTTTTCAAAAAGCTGTAGCAATTTCATTTAAAACTAACACCTACCGACCAACAGTTCAAGAAACATGGTTTCGAGAACAACGCATTTGAAGTTTTACGACCCGCATTCCGCAGCGCCCAAGAAGCTTTTACTTTTTGCACTTGTTTACAGTCAACTTGCGACTGTGGTGTTCGGCTCTGTTTCTTGCAAATTTTATTTAGAAACTTACTTACTTACCTCAAACCTTAAAGCCTAAAAGCCGTCATATACCCAATATCCCATGACAACACAGTTTGGCAAATTACTTAAACGTTCAAAGTTTCCACAAACACGATTTCGTTGTAGTAAATTTCATGAATAATAAATATGCGGAATTTCTTCTTTACCATCCAGAGGGCTGCCTGTGGTATCCAACGGGTGTGTTACGCATGAATCGTCCATTGAATGCAGCACATGGCTTTCTTGTACACTACTTACCGGCCTATATATTGGATATTGTAGCGCGACTGATGGGCAAGAAGCCATTGTAAGTATATAAATATATATTTTTGATTCTATTTTATTGTCCGTAACTGTATGTATGTATATAATTATAGGGATTAAGTAAATGGCAGCTATTAAATGGCATTACTACTTACCAAAATTTAACTAACTTTTTTCTTTTTATTACTTTTTGTTTTTTCTTTACCTCGCATACGTTAGCATGGTAAATATACAAAATAAAATCGCCAAAGCTGTTGGTTGCTTGGAATACTTTGCTACACACCAGTGGCGATTCAGAGACGACAACGTGCACGCACTACTCAATGCGCTGAGTCAGAAGGATCGCGAAACGTTTGTGTTCGATGTGCGCACCATTAACTGGGAGAACTATGTTGAGCGTTATGTGTTGGGCTTTAGGGAATTCTTATTTAAACAACGTCCAGAATCGCTGCCTGCGTGTCGAAAACGTTTGATGCGGTAAGTGTGTGTGTGAAATATTTGAAAATTTGTTTCAATTATTTTATGCTGTCATTGTGTCTGCTTCCTGATTACTAACATTTGTTTATCGTTCACAATAGATTGTACTATCTGCATCAGCTGACTAAAGTGGTGGCGGTAATGTGCACTTGGCGCTTCCTAATGTCGCACTCGAAACGTCTGAATGCCTTGTGGACGGCATTCTTGCAGAACGTCTTCAAACTTATACGATTAATACCATTTTTGTAATATTCAAAACGGACGGTGCAGTGCAGTTGAATTATATATACATATATATATATAAATAAATAAATAAATAAATATGTAGCAGCAAAAGCAGTAGTGGGGAGAAGAAATAACAAAACGCTCT